CGTCAGGGATCCAGCTGGGCGCTCTCCTGTCTGTCACGCAGAGAGCTGCTGTTCCCCTTCTATGATCGCTGGGCAAGGTGGGACCTTCGTCTCTACTTTCTCACAGCGGCCGGTATGTATTGTTCCCAGCCTTCACCCCGTCGGGAAGATAGGCATGTTTTGCTATGTTCCAGGGACAGTGATGCGCCATTACGCTTGGCACATCAGGCAGGGGGTGTTATTGAGCAGGTGTGTCTGTGCTTCTAGTGCCGGGCGGACCCAGTGGGGCGCAGACTACATCATGCTTCGCCCTTAACCCAATAGCGATAGCCTTAGAGGGCGAAGCCATATACGAAATAGAACTGAGGTTACCTACTGTAACCCCAGCTTCTATGAGTAAATGGCGCAGCCCTCTAAGCGCTGGGCCCCACTGGCTCTACGAATAGCTGAAGAAAAGTTATTTTTGTATGGGAGCAGATTGCCGGGCCTCCTTCCTATTTATACCGGAAGGAGGCCCGAGGGGGGGGCCCACCTTGCGGGTGGGCGTGGACTACAAGTGTTTCAGTGCTGCGCGGGGGCGCAGGGGGATTACCCAATAGCGATAGCCTTAGAGGGCTGCGCCATTTACTCATAGAAGCTGGGGTTACAGTAGGTAACATCAGTTTCACAGCGAGGCCCGGTGGCTGTCACGTGGGAAGGTCCTATCCATTTGAACTGCGAGATGAGATCTACATCTTTTTGGAAGAAGAGGGTAATAAACTAAGCCTGAAGTTTGGTGATAACAACTTCCTCATGAAAGTTGCATACCTGAGTGACAAGTTTCAAAAACTAAATGAACTAAATCTGCAGATGCAAGGGACCAACACACAACTTCCACATCTGGCAGATAAAATAACATTATTCACACGAAAACTGGAGATGTGGGAGCAACGAGTTAAGGAGGGAAATATAGACTCATTTGAGAACCTCAAATCATTCATCGAGGTAAACAATATTCTTATCCACAAAAGGGGGGCCCTGCAGAAAAAGTTTGGTGACCACTGAGTTAGCTCAAGGTTTAGCTAAGGCAAGGTATCATGGGCATTCAGGCTAATTAAGGGGAGACACTTAAAGTACAGTAAAATGTGAATCTAACAACGTCATCACAATCGCCACATTGATATGCAAATTAGGCGTTAACTAGGCCTAATTAAAATGTGCTAATTTGCATGCAGTTACCGAGGCATTGCAGGTGAAACGGATAAAACAAAAAATCACCTCACAACTTCCCCAGATAGTTACTTACGTCAAGTCAGTATTTCCCCCTGAAATGTTATGTTTAAATGCAGATTAGCTTTAAATCTATAAATGAATTCAGACATGGTTGTAAAACTAGCACCATTTATATGTTTCTTGGAAGTTTTATTTCCATTAGAGTGAAAGAAAACATTGAAGCAAAATAGACCAAAATAACAAGTACATGACAAAACTGTCTTTTTGCCTGAAATCTCCGTAAACAGCAACTTCATAATTTTGATTGTTGGCTGCTCATTTAATAACTATTATTTTATTAGTTTGTTGTCTGCTCTTGTGCATAGTCTGCTCTTGTGCATAGTGAATACTAAAGAAGACCATTAATGGAGTCTCTGTTTTAGCTGATTATTTTGTAGAATTATGTTGAGTATTAAACAATTGCGTGAGTGTGAGGGTATTAAAATAAACTGGTCAGTAAGTCAGAGATGTGCAACTATATTTAACTTTTTGTTTTAAAACTTTTTTTTAATAAACGATTATGGGAAGTGCCCTTTTTCTCACTTGAGCACCCGCCCCCCAAAATGTCTTTGCACGTCCCTGCTCTATACGTAACATCACTAATTACCCTTAACCCCGTGACTTTTTACACAGAGGTTAAGGAATAGACGATAGGAATAGACGATAGGAGCAGATTTTTTGACTTTTCGACTGCAGCCCTGGGCTAGTGGGCTCACGCGTGTTTCATTTATAGAAGTTGGTCGAACGGCTGATAGCGCGCAGGCTGACTGAGCGGAACCTTTTCTTGGAAACCATGATTCCTTCCGGAAGAAAACTAGGCTGCACCAGCTGGCGTTGCACTCCTCTTATTATACATCCATGCACTAGACCCGTTTTCTAGATAATGTAACAACTGTTTGACTTGCAAAGTAGGATAATAAGTTGTATCATACACGGTAATGAGGTAGTAAGTTGATAATACATTCATAACCTGGCTGATGGCTCACATTAGCAGCTTTACCGTTTACAGGCATCCGGTAACGCATCGCTTAAAAAGTCAACCCCTAGGTGAGATACCGTAAATGACTGCGACTATTAACTTGTAGGCCTTTATCTAAGGGTAACTGCAGCTTCTGAAGAGGTCCATGATGCTGTGAACAGCACATTATTCACAGACCGCTTGTAGTAAAGTGTATTTCCTCGGACAGAACACTTTATACATTTTATATGAAGATTTATTTTGCTGTTAGCGTAAGTTGCGTCTGACGGACACCATGGATGAAGAACCAGAGAGAGCCAAGCGCTGGGAAGGGGGCTATGAGAGGACTTGGTAAGATGTAGCTAGGGAGATTATTGTAGATGTATCATGTATGTGCTATAATTTGACGCAATATTGTTTAATGGATGTGTTACAGGGAAGTGCTGAAGGAGGACGAATCTGGATCCCTGAAAGCCACAGTAGAGGAGATCCTGTTCCAATCTAAGAGGAAGAGGTGTGTGTGTGTGTGTGTGTGTAAAAAAATAAATAAGTGATCCTTATCATCAGTCAGGTAAAGGTCTATGTATGAGGTTCAGAACTCCACTACGTGTTCTTGTTGCTCTTAAGAAAGCAAACCTTGGTGTTGGGCCTGTAAGTCGTGATTTCAATGGGGCCGCTCTAGCTTTCACCATTACAAAAGGCACAGCGCCCTGTCCCTTGATGTTATGTACTTACATGTAATATACCGTTCCAGAGCTGGCTCCACTTGCATCTGCAACGTGGTTTAACTGAGCCAATGTCACTTCCCCAAATCCACCCGTTTCAGGCCTCTATCATCTTTGAACTCTTCAAGTTTGCAGAGCTCCTTCAGCCAACTTGTCCATCCTTGTGCAGCCAAGGCTGGACAATATTCTCCAAACAAGTTCCTTTCTGCACAAGTCTTGAAGAATCCTTTTGACGGATAGGACCATAGGTGCCAAGATTCCTAAGTGGTCATAGATTGAGCTGACATTAGATAGGATCCCTCTTCGGGTTGTGGGTCTGATTATCATTGTAAATGATTCAGAAGAAGATGACCACCACCAAAAATGAGTGTAAATACCATATAGAAAAAAACCACATCTTACATGTGACTCCTATAGATTATACCAAATGTATTTTGCACTGCTATATTGTCTTTTGAATGTTTTCCCCTGGCTGCTGTATTGCTTTATATTCATTGATATACTAACAGTCTGCACTGGCCACTTCCAAAAAGAAAGCCGTTAATCCAAAATGATTGTTAATATAATCTTATCTGCTGCTCTTTTCTCCTCATAGGGTGATAGAGAGCCATGGACAAGTAAGGCTCGGAATGGTAAGTGAGTTCTGCATCCTTGCCACAGAACCTTCAATGTTCTGTATGCTTCCAAATAATCCCAAGGTTTCCAGGATCGCATGAAGGCACCCATTCCACCACAATACCTTTTTATACATTTTAGTAAAGACCAAAATAGCCAAATAACCTTTTTGTGTATACAATTACTGTTTGAATGGAATCTTATTATCAGACAATAAATGCAGAGCTTAGAACAAATTATTGTTTCTTATTTACAATATAACAGTTAATATAACTCTCAAGTCCTATAGAGAAGAAGATTAACCTTTATTTATCCCCCTAGGGGGAAATTCAGTTTTTCACTCTTGTATTTATTTTGTATCCACACACACACACACACACACACACACACACACACACACACACACACACACACACACACACACACACACAGTATACAGGCCTGAGACTGAGCCACTGTCGCCTTGTGAGGGCAATGTAGCTTGACATAACTCTTGCAGGAATTCATTTGGTATCACAACACTGTACTGTATGTGCCCTAGATGCGTCACCTCCACGTGGTAATTGACTGTTCAAGAAGTATGGATGACCATGACTTAAAACCAAACCGCCTCACCTCCACTCTGAAGGTACGTCCTGCAGCAGAGCATCTTTGCACCAGCAGTATATGATGCCATGAGGTGTAAAGCTACATCTCTTTTTTCCTGTCCTCTGCAGCTCATGGAATCTTTTGTTGATGAGTATTTTGACCAAAACCCCATCAGTCAGGCAAGTTTATACTTTCATGCTTATGTTTACAAACTGTTTGTGTTATATTCGAGTAATGGTTGCTCGACAGGAAGCTACTTTTGGCAAAGGCTTCTGCCTCAAAACTTGTGATAGGAATTTCTCATTATTTTTTAGATTTCTTTGACGAATGATTAACGTAACTCAAAGATTAATAAGTAAAACGTATTCAACGATGTTGCTGTAAAATGACTAGAATTTATTTCACAGGTTCTTAAATTATTTTTGTAATATTCCTAACAGGGATTAATACCAAGTGTCTAAGCTTTAACAGCTAATTGAGATTCTGAAATAGTTTTCTTTAAAGCCCAGCATTTGAGAGAATCTTTTCTCCTCCTTTATGAATAAATTGTTAAAGGAACCATTTTGATCAGCAACACGACAAATCATTTGTCATTAAAGACAGCACTGCTGCTGTCAGACCAAAAACACTGAATTGTTGTTGTAGAACGAGACAATATCTGCAAACAAGTTTCACAGTGGCTGACCTGACAACTTGTGTTGTGTGACTATAGCTGGGCATTATCACCACAAAGAATAAACGAGCTGAGAAGCTGACCGACCTGGCAGGTGAGCATCACATGAACTGCTAATATTAAGCCCTTTCCCACAGGAAAAAAAAAGCTTTTGTCTTTAGTTTAAAACTTTGCCATGATCATTCTTTCCTGGGAAAATGATTCTGCAGGAGTAATTGTACTTATCGTCTCCAGCTTAAATGTGCAAAAGAGAAACATGACCCCTTGTGAGCCATGCTATGTGACGTTTATGGAAATGAGAACACCGCAAATGAGATCAGCACAGTTTGGACGGGACAACAGTCATTTTATCTTGCTGATCCTCATAAAACAAATTTCTCAAACTTGACAGTAACAAAATAAGTCAAATCAAAGCCATCTTTGTTTATCTTTTCCACTGTTTAAACCCTCACCATCTCTGGTTTGGGAGTTTAAAAGAATGAACAAGTAACAATATATGAGTTACAATTATTATGTACTAGCATACTTGTCTACTGGCAGTCAACAGCAACAATACATGTTTAGTGTTAGTTACATGTAAACTACAGCCTACAGTCTATGTAGTGCCCCGTGCTGCATTTATATACTGTATAGTTTTGTTTTACCACCAGGAAATCCAAAGAATCACATTGTTGCTCTGAAGAAAGCAGTCGCCACTTTGTGTGTAGGAGAGCCGTCCTTATACAACTCTCTCAACCTGGCCATTCAGACACTCAAGTAGGTTATGCCATGCTTATATTCTACATTGGTTTCTTTGATGTTACTGAAAGTCACTCAGCTGGTGTCTGTCCTTGTATGAAGGCACATGCCTGGACATACGAGCCGGGAGATCCTCATCGTCCTCAGCAGCCTCACTACATGTGACCCAGCCAACATATGTGAGCTGATTAAGGTGAAGTTGAGCCCTAAACCCTACCTAAGAGAGCGCAGTCAAAGGCTGCTGTTAGGCTTCTGAGTTTACTAGATATTTCACATTTCATTTTTTATCTGAGTTTAACCGTGTTTGCCCTGTCAGACCCTGAAGGCTCTCAAGGTGCGGGTGTCTGTGATAGGCCTATCAGCTGAGGTCAGGGTATGCACAGTCCTGACCAGAGAGACGGGAGGCTCGTACCACGTTATCCTGGATGAGAGTCACTTCAAGGAGCTGCTGATGCTGCATGTCAAACCTCCTCCAGCCAGCTCTTCATCTGAATGCTCTTTAATACGCATGGGTCAGTATGCAGGCGCTCTTTCCTTCCTCTTTCTCCATCTCTAACTGGACATCCGAGTGATAACACCAAAGTGTTGTAAACATGCTCTGATGTAACAAACAGGCGTTCTGCTGCCATCACATATTTAGGACTGTTTTAAAAATGTAATACAATATTACCAAATGGGGGTTAACATGTCAGAGCTTTCATACAATCATACACTGTTAGGGCAAATAATACATTTTGTAAGTTTATTTCAATATTCAGGCATCCAAATATAAAACCCCACTGGTAGAATGGTAAAAGACCTTAGCGGGCCAATTAAAAGAGTCCTGTTCTTGAACGATGAGGACAGCAATTTGAAGTGGTCACTCATAAACATGAACCAAACACACTAGCTTATTTGAAGTCAATGTAATATATACAGGGTTCGTAAGGGTGCTTGAAATCCTTGAAAATGCTTGAATTTTTACGAGGTGTTTTCATGACTTGAAAAGTGCTTGAATTTGGGGAATTGTGCTTGGATTTGAGATAAAGTGTTTGAAATTGTAAATGCTTTACTTTTACAATAAATTGGTGTCTGACTGAATAGTTCGCTTTTTAGATTAAAAGAAAATAAAGAAGTCGGAGCGAGCTTAGTTGCTTCGCTTCTACATAAAACAGCTCCGCTCCGGCCTTCCCGCTATGCGCGCGACCTGCAAGTGTTTTATTTTGTGTGACCTGGGCATTCTAATGAGAGAATGACAGTATGCCAGGAGGTTGCCGTTTTAACGAGCGTTGGCTATCCGAAAAGAAATACAAGCTGTGGCTAAAACGAGGATCAACCCAACAATTCGCCTTCTGCACAGTTTGCCACAAAGAATTTCAATTATTCGCGATGGGAGAGTCTGCGCTGACGAGCCATATGAAAGGTAAGCCGTAGTAGAGCATTTTGGATTAGGCTAACGTTGCATGTTACGTTTGTTTAAGCTAGTAACGTTAGCGAACTCGATCAATAATAAAAAGGAGCGTACCTATGTCAGTATGTGCGACAGTCGCCATCCTGTGGTTTTCAGAGGATGAAGCACATAAAAGCAATGTATTTCTACTGGTAGTATTTTTCGTGCCTAAACTTGCTCCATCGAAATCAGTCACATTGACCCGAAGACACATTTTGAGTTATACACTGTTGGAAAGAGGATATTCATAGCTTTCTAACGGAGGAAACATATTTTCGTTTGTATTACTGGTCTGGGGGAAGCTCGCGAGTGTGTCAGGGTGTCTGCGGGGTCTTAAAAAGTATTAAAAGTTGATAAATCAATTTAGCGAAAATTAAGGCTATTAAAAAGTATTAAACGGCATTTTCCAAGGTATTAAGAAGTCCCACAGCAACGACAACATGAAACACCCTTTAATTTACTGAAACGACATGTCGGGAAACCCCACAAGGCGGCCCCATGCATAGCGCGCCGTAAAAATGCTGCTTCTTATTTTAAGTTTCGTTGCCTTGCTCCGATCTGTGGGGGGGAGGTCCCAACGGGTCCCAAGGTGGGTAGACCGGCATACGCAACGCTCTGGGGGTCCAACGGCTCCGTGTGTAAGCCCTATATGATCATTTTCTGATAACGATGAAATAGCCCGCCTCCCTCTCCCCACGTCTCCTGCTGCTGCTGGGCTGTCAGAAGAGGGGGAGGAAAAGAGAGGCAGGCACTGTTTATTAAATATTATTATACAGAGAACAGAGTCGTTATCAATTTGTTTTGAAGCTCAATAATTAACAAAGAAGACCTCTGATCGGCACTTTTCTAATTTTGTACGGAAGATTTAAACTTTAACGGACATGTTGACCGGCGGAACATTTTTTTTACGGAAACTCTGCCGCACGGAAGAGGCGGTGAGGTGGGTGTTTTTCATCTGCTGTGGACTACCGGAAAGATATACAGCAGGAGAACACGCCGTCCACCGCGGAGAATAAACAGAAGGGCAACCATGGCAACCATGCTCCGGGGTCTTATTCACTGCTTTTGGTGTATTTCGGGCGGCAGCAGCGCCATTTACAGGCCTCGTTTCCAGCATTTCCAGCGGTCTAGTGTGAACGGACACGTTAATGAATCGAATGCGTGTGAACGGAAGCCTTTTTTGCGCTTGCGTATGCGTTTTACCGTATGCGTCCTCGTGGGGCCGGGGTCTAAGCCAAACTATATCCGGTCACAGAGATCTGCTATTTTAAAGTAAAGTCAACACATATCGACCCTAAATATAGTCTATATTAAGAACGAGAAAAGTCTTAACATATATATCCTTTTTTGTAAACATATGACAAATGTGTGAGGGTGATGACGTCAGAGCATCGTCCTATGTGCCAGGGCTTAGCCCCGGACAGCCCCAGCCCAATTTAACCCCTGGGTATTTG